AGAAAAAGTATCACCAACATTAATTTGTACTTCATTTTCAATTTCTTTTCTAGAAGTATCAGATTCTCTGACAAGAACAACAGAACCTCTGGTATCAGAATCATCCTCAAAAGCAACTGAACCTTCAGCAAATGTAGTATTAGAATCCTTTGCAAAGGATATAAAACCTCCAGCAAAGGCAACAGAGCCACTAGAATTTCTAACGAAGGCAATAGAACCTTCCATAAAAGCAACAGACTCTTTTTTTATTGCTTAAATAAGTTTGATTATCTTCGGTAAAAAAAAAACCATAAATCATAAACTTCTATACAAAAGTCATAAGAAACAGCAAAACTTATGAGAGTTTACATTTACCATCCATAGTGGTAAAAGACGTAAATTAAAGACAAAGGACAAGAAAAAAAAAGGCTTAAAATTTAGAAATTCACGTCAAAGCAACTTTCTAAAGAAGTTCCTTCTTCTTAAATTAGTTTTTCTGTTATCATTAATACAAAAAGAATGTATGTTAAATTTGCAAAAAAAAAGTGAGCGAAAGAGCAGCAAATATGTAACACTAGCAAATATGTAACATTTTTTTTTTATTTGTCTATTATTGTATCACGTGTCATACACGTGACGTTATATAAATATTATTGTCACGTGATACCAGTGATGATCACTCCTGGTGATTTTAAGTAAATACCATATTATAATATTTTCTAATTTTATTAGCATATTTAGTGATTTTCTTGATCAATATGCTAATAATTAGAATTTTATTTTATCTCAGATATACCAGTGACCTAATTTTAATACATCTATAACTAGTCAATCTCTGACTCAAGATATTATTTCTACCTTAATGTTGAGAGCTGGTGAAAGAATACTAGCCAATTAAGTAGAATGGTAATACTTTACAGATTTAATTAATCTAGAGTAGTAATCTTTAGTTCAGAAGATTTTTTTGCTGAATTATAGATTATGCAATAAAAAAATAAGTAGATTATCAGCCAGATCTTATATAACATATCAATTTTTTGCATATATATTCAAAAAAAATATATTAACCTTTATTCTTTATTTTTTCCTGAACAAATATGAGAAACATATGAAAGAAAGTTTATATGTAATATAAGACCTACTGTAAAAGTAAACATTAATATCAAAAGCATATATTATGAGGGGTTGAGGGACTCACAATTTTGAGATCTACAAGAACTAACTAATTATATGTCTTCAAGTAGATTTACATGTAAAAAGGTATGAAGATTCCATTTGCAAGTGCTTTCATAGAGATCTTGGTATTATATGACAATACTAATAATATCTCATATTTCTTTAACTTTTTCTAGTAAATATAAAGCATGCAGTGGTATATGAAAGTTTAGCCAACCTTTCTGCAAAAAATTTAAAATATATTTATATTAGAAGTTTTATATATATGTAAATGAAAATTTCTCACAATAGGCCTTGTATTTAGGAAAACAAGATGTTTGATAAGACAAAAGTACCTGATAAGTTTAAAATACCTAATAAGCTTAAAAAGTTTCTTACTAATAGAGATATTATTCTTAATTGTCTCATTTTAGATGAGAGAATGAACAATATTTTCAAAGTAATAATATTTAATGCTAATGACAATTGAGTTTTTTTTTCTTACGAATGATATCAGAAACTGTTATCTAGATCAATTTCAAGATATAGATTCAGCCAGTTTAGCTTTATATAAGATTACATTTATAGCTGATAGTATCATAATCAATAACTTAAGAAATATCAATGAATTTAAAGTAGAGGATACAATAAGAATAGAATAATAAGATAGAATTTTTACTCATTTTTTTATACAATCTCAATGTATCTATTCTAGTAAAAAGGAAATTAATATTATTGTGTATCCTCTTACTAAAATAATGTCAGAGATACTAAGTAAAAATAAATAATATTTTATTCACATCATGTAATAGTGATATATTTGTAATTTTTTATGTATTATTATCTGCTTCTGGTAATGTTTATTTCATAAATAAAGCATATATTACATTCTTGTTATAAAGCTTGAAAAATATCATGTATAATGATATAATAATATCCCCTGCTGACAATTTTGTATTACATATTAATTGCATATATATTAGTCAAATATATTATGAATCAATACAAAAAATCTATCATTTTCTTCCTGAGCGTCAGAAATCAAAAAATACTTTTTATATTTATAAATCAGCTTTACTTGTAACTACAGTCAGTACATAAATTTTTTGCAAGTACAAGCACGCATATATAAATACTATGTCTTTATAAGTTTCTTCACCTGCTTCATCTACCTCAATAATGAAAGAAATTTTTTTATGAATAATTTCAGATGTTAAAGATTTTAATACAGAAGAGCTTATAAATATTTGGAGAGGAAAGGCTTGAAGCTCAAAGAGACCCATTTTAAAATTTTACGCAAGAAAGAAATCACTGATCGTTCTTTTCTTAATTAACTAAAAAAAAAACTTAAATGTTATGATATAAAAGGAGGATTTGCAACAGTTCTTATAGAATTCATTGAAGGTTTTAACCAGAAGTTACAAAACTATTTCTCACTTATAACTCTTGATGACTTGAAGGAAATGTTACGTAAAAATAAGATCATTAAAGAAAATATAATAAGCATTAAGTAATTTATCCTAATAAGTAATCACTCTTTATTCTAGGATAGTCTATTTTAAATAATAATCTTACTTTTCTCTGCAATCTTCAAAGAGATTAATAATAATGATAAGGCATTTGAACATTGTATAAAGGACATTATCTTAAAACTTTCAAATATGAAAACTATGACCAATACTAACAAAGCAACATGTTATAAATTTATTTTATTGATTCTTCACGCATCTATTGTTATAGCTAAAAACTTACCTCTTAAGATATATTTGTAATTTTGCAAAAAGAAGTTTCTGGTGAAAATGCAACAGATTAAGTAGATTATGTAATTAAAAGTCTAGAAGATTTTCTTTACATTACTAAGGGAAAATCACATAATATTAAAATTAGATATGCACAGGTGTGTCTACTACTCAGATTTGTATTTTTTAGAAAATACAATAATATTAATATATTTTATTTTTTAGAATCTGGCATAACTTAAAGTATATTTCAGACTAATAAAAAGAAGTATACTGCAGATCAAGCGTTTGAAAATGACTATTTTAACTATATCTATAGTATTGTGATCATAAACATAGAATAGCATTTTATCATATATACTCCAGATCAGTGTAAAAAATCTATTCTAATTTACCCAGTTTTTCTGGTTAATATCTAATAAAACCGGTAAATTTTTTTAATCCCAGAAATTTTTCGGTTATGACGCAGCAGATTTCTGGAATATTTTACAAATGCTGGAAATTTTTTTTAATAAAATTTGTAATTTAATATACTTATAAAAAACGAAAATTTACTATTTAGTTATTATTATATTGACATCTTTATTATCAATAATTTCAATAATTTGATTACTACAATATGATCATTTAATACCTGTACGCCTTTTTTGATTACTCCAAATTGTATACGCGCGTGTATAATTAAAATTCTTGCTTTTCGAACCTTCCAAAGAAACGCGCATCAGCATATCTAAGGTGTTTGTAGTTAATAAATTTCTATCTTTTGTTTTAATTTTATTTTGTCTGCTAAAACTACGCTCACATTTCACATTTGAAAAGGGGATACAATAAACTATTTGAATTAATTTAATGATATTTGGAAATATATCATTATAATCTTGAATTAATAAAGGAAGTAA